GAGAGTCCGCGGACTATACGCGCGAAATTACGGACCTTATTTTTGTTAAAGACATGGAGAGCGGTAAATTAATTCATTTTAAAAATCTGAAGTATATCGCAATGAGACCAATGCGACTATTGACATGAAGTACTTCAACATAGCTTTAAATAACACGAAGGATGGATTCGCTGACAGATTCGAGCAATTCAAAACAAACAAAAGTACTCTTGCAGTCATAGTATATCCTCTCAACGCAAATACAAATGGTATCAACAATGAGACATTTAGAATTTATGCTGGATCGCTTCAAATGCAACTGCTATATTTGAAAACCAAAGACTTGTGGAGTGGCAAGTTCACAGAACTCAAAAGCAAGTTAGAAGAGTTGGAGGTCCAGAAATGCATGCACATCGAACAGCACAAGAGGACAGCTCTAAACGAAATTCCGCGTATTGAGGCCCTTATATTCGGGGCATGGAATAGTCTTCCAGAATGGTACAGTGAGGTGAAGAAGTTGACATATGAAGTACTGACGATCTACAGGTCGACATATTTGTGCGTGCAAGCGTTCTCTTGCATGAATATAATAAAATGTAACGTTAGAAATCAACTAACAAAGAAAAATCTAGAGCTGTGCTTGAAACTTAAAGCAAGTTATAAGCCAGATTTAGTCCATCATTCAAAAGGCATGCAAAGCCAATGCTCCAATTGATGTAACTATCTCTCTCTCTCTCTCTCTATCTATCTATCTATCTATATATATATATGTAATAATAAAATTCCATAGTCAAGATTACACTTAAATTTCTAACTGTATGTTTTTTCATTTTTCTTTTTCATTTTTAATGGCGATGGTCTCTTATTTGAAAGTACGTGAAATTAAATCTACAGCCCCATAGTCAAGTTGTTTTTCCCACCTTTTCTACACGTACAGTATTGAATGTTCTGGAAATATTTAAAGCAAACTGGAATGGCTGACGAGGCTGACGTCATTTCTTGGAAACTCTGCCTTTCCAGAGGTTATAAAAGGACTTGCAAAAGAATATCGGGGGCTTTTCTTTAATATAACGATGTAGTAAACTTCATACAAAAAGTTATTAGTAATTCTTTTTATTTAATCTGGATATCTGATTTTGTAACTGCTATTTCTCCTGAATAAACTTTATCGTCCTGAATAAACTTTTTTAAACTTATCATCTGATAATTTAAGCTACGACTATTTATGATTCTTCACCAATCTATTTATTCCAGACAAAAGCTGGTACATCACATATATATATATTATTCTGTATGTAAAGCCGTTAATTTGAAGTCAAAAATCAAACATATATAAGCAAAAGTATAATATTGAAACGAAACTTTTTAGTGGCTCATTAAAAATTGGGAAATTTTGTAAATTGTAACTTTTGTCTCTTCCGTTTCAACAGGTTGCTGACCCTGTGTTAGACTATTCTTTCCTGTTTAAGAGAATTGTTATATTCTTATTTTTCAAGAAGTCTGACAAACAAGAAAAGCTTAATTCCTCATCTGTCTGTGTTTGATTATATTTCTGATTTTCTATCGTTAATTATTTCTCAACACTGGGACTAGATCTAACTGGCTTGATTGTTTGACACATTTACAAAATTATTTGAATTTTCCATGAACCAGGAGATTGTGAATTCAAATTCTGCACGGCTATTTTCTGATATTGCCCACTGAAAATAAATGTTTTTTTGTTTCTTTAATTAACAGAGTTCTGCTAATATAGAAATTATTAAAATTTTTGCATGCAGTGTATAATATCTGGTTGTAACAAAATTTTTCCACCAAAAAGCATACTTATTAAAGTTTAAAAAAAAAATGAAAGCAGTACCTTTAGTGTTGGTAGTAATCACCATCCAAATCTATGATTTTCTGCCAACATTTTGGTAGTTTTTCAAAGCCTTCAGCCTAGAAACTTGGTGGTCCATATGTCCAAAAACAGATCAACCTCATTTTGGACGTCCTTTGAAGATAGCACCAGCAAGTTGTAGCTGTAGGTGTGAAAAAATGTAGAAGTCCAAAGGAAGCGATGTTGGGGCTATATCGTGGGTGTGGCAAAAGATCCTATTCGAGTCCGTATAGAGTCCAGCCAGTGAATGCAGACACGTGTGGTCTTGCATTATCTTGATGGAACATTACGTTTTTGTGCCGGAGCTTATTTCGACGTTTTTCCTTGATAGCAGTATCAACACAGACTAGCATTTTCCTATACACTTTAAATTAACTGTTGAGGGTTTTTCCTTTTTCCAGATACTCTTTGTGGATAAATACCATGGCAATCGCACCAGATACAAAGCATGAAATTTTCAATAAAACCTGATAACTTAATCACTATTAATATGTATAAAATTTTATATCAATTAATTATTTACATAATAATTTAACATTAAGTATATAAATATAATTATTAGATTTTTTACATTATTTGTAAAAAGGATAAAAAAAATTTTCTTGTTTCATGTACTTAAAAAAGTGCTGTATTATGAATCTAGTTATGAGCAATTTAGCAGTATGTGTTATATTTTATGCTATATAGGAATCAAATACGTAATCAATTTATTTCCTCCTTTTGGAAAATGATCATAAGGTAAATTTAATTCATTTCTGACCTTATTCATGTATTATTTAGTTGATTTCAAAGACTCTTACATTATTTTTTTTATTTCTTATACATTTATTGTGTTACTTTTATGTTTATTTAATTTTTGAATAACTATGAGAAGCAGCTGATGTGTCGGGGAATGGTCTTCTTATGCAGGAATTTTTAGATCTTTACTTAAAATTTTACTTGAGTTTTATTCTTGACTTGAATCATGCATCAATTTTAATTAATTAAATCTTTACTTAAATTTTTACTTTTGTTCTTGACTTAATTATGAATCAATTTTGACTATCTTTTTAGACTTGATTTTGTTTTTGCAGAGGAAGGCAATGAAACACATTTGCTTCTATTGATTATTGTGAATTAATGGGAAATTTATTTGTTCCCGTTGAAAAGTCAATATCCAATTAATAACAATAATTGTTTCAATATTTACTCTTAACATAACATTTTTACTTTTAATGAATATTTACTTTTAACAAACAAGCCTTAAAAATTTTTTTGCTTAACTGCTTTACAGTTTACTATTTTTATTAATCTTCATAAATTCTTTATTTTCTTACTTATAACCAGTGCAATTATTAGGCTTTTCAAGTCCAAAATTTCCAATTTAATTAGTTCTTTATATATGTCTGCATTTTGTTTCACAATTGTTTTCTTTTTCTGCTTCATTGATTTTTTTTATATATATATATATATATATATATATTATTTATTTTTCATACTCTGCACTTTTTGCATTTTTACTGCATTTAATCACTGTTACTTTCTGTCTGCTGTTAAGCCTTCTGTGTATTATTACTATTATTATTACAACTTATTTTTAAAAATAACTGAAAATTAAAGGCATTGAACATGTTACAAATTATTCTGTCTATTACAAGATCAGTAAATGATGCAGGATTCTTACAGGATGCAATTCGTATCATCTACTTTGTCTACACTGATTGGCTTAGTAGCTCAGAGGAACATAGATACAAAATCTTTCTGTATAAATAAATGCTGATATGTTCGATACATCTCCTCATGTAGATGGGGTTTAAGGGATTATGAATATGAGATGAATGCATCTATTATTTTAATTTGACCTGTGGTGACATTTTGAGCTTGCTCAACATACTATTATTTCACTTTAAGAATGTGCACTGTGGGGGACAATAGTATAAGAGAATTTCTTACCTAATAAATAGACTTTTGGGTAGGCATGGGAATTAAAAATTTCTTATTCCTGATGGGAATTTGAATTTAAGCTTACTGATGTGATAGCAGTTTCCACTAAGCACTAATAAAAATCAGCTTTATGTTTACAAATTTTCACAAACATTCAATATATTCCTGTGAAAATTTACAAATATAACGCTGATTTTTTGATTAAATAACCATGTTAAATTCATATTTGTTCAGCATGTTATTTTAACCTAAATTAAAACCATGCATATGTTTTAAATAACAATAAATCACTATGCTATAGACGTTATTCTGAAAAATACCACATTGTGCCATCAAATAAACATTGTCAAATCCCTTATTAGTTGTTGAAATTTTTCTCAGTTTATCTTAGAGTAAATAACAACCGTATTAAAGTATCTCTTAAATAAGCTTAAACAAAATTTTCTTCAGCTGCAGTTCATTTGCTAATACTCATGAATTGAACTGAAGCATTATTGTTTTAATTTATATGCTTTTTATATTAATACATCTGCATAGTTAAATATTTTGTTGTTTGTAATTTTATTTTCAATACAAAGGCAATAAAATAGTTTTAAAAATTCTTATAAAATAGAGTTTAAGTTTGAAATTTAATATATTTTAAGCACTTAGTGATGGCTGATCATATGCAATCATGAAATATTTTAATTGTATGTTTATTCCCCTTTACTCCAGAATATTTTATAATTATTGAAAAATCCAGAAACATTTTGCATGAATGTTAAAGGTAAGTGCTTGTGCATGGTTAGTTACTAAGGCAACTATTATTTATTAATTTTTAAATAACTTGACTATGCCTATCATGATGTGTTAATAACAATTAATATATTTTTCTCTCATTTGTTATTCCCTATGACATTTATGATTTTGCATCAGCAGAAGATTATTGTTTATATCCATTCAATAAAACATAGTGTTTACCCTTCAAAATATTAGTCCTAAGTAAATATTATTTATCTTCACCCTCCAAATAATTTGCACAAACCTTATTGTGATAATTTAAAAAACAAATCATGTTTACTATACGATCACTGCCATCAACATGTATTTCTGTCTTTGTACATTGTAAAAGATACCTCTTAAATAATTCTCTTCCAGTTTTTTTATCTATGCAAAATGTTAATGTACTGTTATGAAAAGGTGTATTTTTTCAATATTTATTAATTTTGTGTTTTGCTTAAAGGTTGCTCAGTTATCAAAATTCCGTGAAGGAGGTGGTCTTGGTATTAGTTTAGAAGGCACCGTAGAAGTAGAGGATGGAAAAGAAGTTCGTCCTCATCATTATATAAGATCCATTTTACCTGATGGGCCAGTTGGTGTCAATGGCCGCTTGCAGGGAGGGGATGAATTATTAGAAGTGAGTGCAAGTTTTGTAACTCATATTCAAAACTGAGATAAACAGGCTGAACATAAACCTGATGTTATTTACTGAAATAAAGTAAACATAAATTTATTAATATTTTCCATTTTGTTTGCCTCTGATTTCTTTAATTGAATATTGAAAATAGCATATAAATAAATTTTCCTATGCTTTACCCTATTTATATTGCTGTGTGGTATAATTTTTGTTTTTATGACATCTAAAATACATTTTTATAAGAATATTCTTCAATTTTAGTGTATTGGATTAATAATTATTTCCCAGTTAATAGTGTTTGGGTTGATACAATATGAAACATTCTGCCAGTGAATAGATTATGTTGAGGATTGATAAATTATGCTAGATTCAAATTAGAGTTTCACTTGAAATATTAAGTATTATTCATATCATTACATTAGTTACTGAAAGCATTTTGGAAAAACTCTATTATAAAAGTTGTATTTAAAAAAATAAAAACTAACTGAAAATATTCAAGAATTTTAGAATTCTGTGAGACTTTGTTTACAACCATCAACACACTAATTGAATTTTCAAATTTATGCTTGAAAAACATTAAACTTATAACTGTGTTCAACAAATCATGATATTTAGCTGTATAATTTGTGCCATTTTATGATTTATAGTGTTAAGTCTTATGCAGTTGTAGTTAACACGAAGACCAAAAGATTAGCCAAGTTGGTGAAAGCCCATAAAATAAATCAAACTTATGTGAACTCTAAGTATTATGTCCATCCAGTCACTCTAGAAACATGTTTCACTTCTATTATTTGGAGAAATGACTTTGAACTGTGATTATTCTTCTTATACTTTCCCCATTTTTTTTGCTACTGTGTTGGCAGTACAGGAAATTCCATATATACTGTGGAATCAATTATTAAGCTTGAACATATCTTTAGCTGCATAATGCAGTCATGATATCATGTAGCAATGGGATCACCACTTCTGCAGTGGGCTATTTTACCTTTGGATGATTTAAGCCTAAATATTCCTGTTGAAGCCCATAAAATAAATCAAACTAATGTGAACTCTAAGTATTATGTCCATCCAGTCACTCTAAAAGCATGTTTCACTTCTATTATTTGGAGAAATGACTTTGAACTGTGATTATTATCCTTATACTCCCCCCCCTTTTTTTTTTTTTTTTTTTTTTTGCTACTGTGTTGGCGGTAAAAGAAAATTCCATATATACTGTGGAATCAATTATTAAACTTGAACACATCTTTAGCTGCATAAAGCAGTCATGATATCATGTAGCAATGGGATCACCGCTTCTGCAGTGGGCTATTTTACCTTTGGATGATTTAAGCCTAAATATTCCTGTTGAAAATACTAATATAATTGTTGACTTAATGGAGTTTGGGAAAATACCCTATAATTTAAAACTGGATGAAAATAGAAAAAAAGACACACTAGATATTTTTTTAAAAACAAATACCTTGTCACTATCAGACAATAGCTATCTTGAACCAGAATGGATAAATGTATTTACAGATGGTTCTAGAATGAATAATGCTGCTAGTGCAGGTGTATATTGTAAACTGTTTTCACAGTATGCCCCCAGTGGGTCAACATTTTTCAAACTTTGCAGAAGTTTATGCAACTTTTTTGGTTGTGTCTTATGAAGGCCATCATTTTTGTTGATTCTAAGTCAGCCATAGAAACAATAGCTCTTCAGCACCACTCTGAGCCTCTTCTTGTGTCAAAAATAAAATGAGATATTAGGAAACTAAATAGGAATGGTAAAACTGTAGATTTTCAATGGATACCATACCACATAGATATTAGTGATAATGAAAAAGCAGATCTCTTGGCAAAGGGGTTTACAGAGTTATTTATTGAACAGAGTTCCATTCCTTTGTATTCCCTATCTGAAAGAGAGTGGTGTAATTGTATTCGCATTTGAGGTATTACAGTCAAAAGTCTTGTTGGGACGATTCCGGATTATCGGTTTTTCCGGATTATAGATCATCAGTTTAAATCTGGGAAGATGGCATGCAGAAATTATAAAATTAAAAATATGAAACCGTAATTTATGAAATAAAGAGCCATTATGATCTAAACAGTATCAAAATTTACAAAAAAAAAAAAAAAAAAAAAGCTTAATATTTATTTGTTTACTTTATTAAGCATTTCTTTCAACGTGCACATGCGTAAAGCGTACATTACGCATAGTCGAAATTAGAAAATTGCAACCAGAAAACTATTTTATGTGTATTCGTGATATTTATAAGGACGAGGAAATTGATTTAAATCATATTGGAGTACATCGAGATGAAACACTACATTTAGTAAAGAATTATAAGCCGAATAAAATCAAAACATCTGCCCTAAAAATAAGGATAGTGCTGACAGATCAACTTCCAGTTCATCCCCCCTGCAGAGCAGCATGAAATTGATAAACAGATTTCGGAATGGTTAGAGAAACAAAGAATATGCCTTTATCAATTTTTTGCAGCAATTCCACTTTTTGTTTGATAGACATCGAAACATGCTTTCGCTTTGTAGATAGATCCTTTGGCAGCTCCAGAATCGGAAATTCTTTTTGACATAATCAAAAGTTCAAGCTTACTTTTATAAAATTGCTCTAACAGTCTGCAAAAAATAATAACCGGATCCAGTTAGAAGATTAAGGAAAAACGCAATCTGCAACATTAACTGAAATAGATAATTAGATAATTTTAGTTTAGCTTATATCGTCTGTTATACATTAAATGTGCATGCGTAAACATATTATGCATTTACACATGCGCAGAAAATTTGTACCGTTGAGGTCCGGATTATAGATCATTCCAGATTATGGATGTCCAGATTAAGGACTTTTGACTGTATAAATGTATATCTGTGTCATAGTCCCGTACATGCTTTAAAATGGTTTTACAAGTTTCTCATTAATTTAATTTTTTGTTAAAAAATTATAAAATTTTAAAATGTTCTGGTTACCTGAGCTTTCCTCTCAGCAGAATGCCAGAAAATCCGTCTATTGTTGTATCCTCCTTTTTTTTGTTATTGCATCCCCATTTCTTGTATAACTTTGATCCTCTATTTTTATTTTCACAATTTTCCTCTCCCACTATCATTTTGGTATTTCTTGACTGATCTCCTTATCATAGTATCTTTTTTTTTTTTTTTTAACCAAAATTCAGCAAGTGTTACTCACCTCTGCCTTCCTTCTCCTGAGGTTGTTTGTTGTACTGGCTGAGATCTGTACTGCTCATTTGGCTTATGAGCTGGATTCATGATTCACATTATCCATGCAGATTATATGGTAACCAGCCTTTAAACCTTAGTTCTTTTATTTCCACCTATACTTTGTTTGTTGAGATTAATAAGTCTGTTTACCCTAAAATGAGTTGAAAAAAGCAGGACTTAAGGCTAGACTTTTGAGTTCCCCTTAGAGGAATGTCTCTTGAAAACCTGCTCCTTTTGCCAAATAAAGAATCAAGCCAAAAAGGTAAGCCATAAAATAGGTAATTGAGGAGCTGTAAACATGTAAATTATTATTATTATTATTAATATTATTACTATTACCTCTGCCTTCATAAAGTTTCCAAGCATACCTATTAGCCATCTTTTACATATTTTATTGATAGCTAATCTCCTGCATTTTCAATTTTATTGTGTAACTCTACAATCTTTACAATTAGTTCATCAATCTCAATGTATCAGAAAGATAGTGTGCCTTTCAACTTCATACTCTGTTTAAGATTTCTTTTATAGTTTAATTGCCTCTAATGATTGCCACCCCTATCTCGGTACAAAGAGCATGTAGCCTTCATGTTCAGTGATCAAGGCTCAGAAATCTGAACAGTGCAACACGGTCCTCTGTCTTTTGTCCCTTTTGCTTAGTGTATGTATATATACATTGAATGAACTGAAATTCATTGAAATCGGGAAAAAAAAATGTTCTAATACTTGCACAATACCTGCAAAATAAGAGAATAATAATTTATTTACTAAAGAAATATTGATTATATTATCTCCTAATATAAATTTAGTAGAATATATCAAAATGAGAAGTATGAAATTTAATTCTGAAATTTTTTCAAGGGACTTGAATTTAAATCATGAAATAAATTCCTAAAGTCCCTTTGAAAATTTTTATTCCATGATTTAAATAAAAGTCCCTTTAACAAATTTTATTACATAATGTAAATTCAAGTCCCTTAAAAAATTTTTGGAATTCAATTTCATACTTCTGGGTTACCTCATTTTGATACCTTCTACTAAATTTATATATCTTTTGTGGACACCTCTGTTCAGTTGTTGATACCATCACCATTCTGTGCAGTTCCATTATGAAATTCTGATTTGTCCTGATATCTCTTTTCCCAATTCTTTATACGTGACTTAAGCTGAAGGGAAAACTGTTGCATATTTCTGAATTTAATCTGCTTATGTAATATTTTGCTTAAGATTTGAACTGTATTGAATAATATTAGTATTTTCAGCATACACATTTAAATTTTAAATAACTTGTTAGTAATATATTATTTTTTCTAAACCTTAGATCATTTATTTATTCTTTTCATCTAATCATAATTTCTCTTCTCGTTTACTTGTATGTATTTTGGCCCACTAGTGGCTGAGCAGTAGTGTCACTGAACACTGGTAGTTCGGACCGAGGTTCAAATCTTGATGAAAAGGTTGACTGCATGGATGTTTTCTTGGCTTTCCTCATGTGTAACATGTATATGAGCTAGTTTCCCTCAGAAAGTCTTCCATGAAGGCATCCCTTCTCTTAGGCAGAAAGTCTTTGAGTGCTTTGCCATCTGTATCCTTCTGTGAGGTATTCAATAAATAGTTTCTTCAGAAATACCCACCAACTGGAACAGCTCTGGGGTTTATACAATGGCTTCTTACTTATGGCATCTATAATTGTGTCAGTCTTCAAAAATTTATGCTCATCTGTCAGCATGAAAACTGAATTCTGTGTTAGTAGTCTCAAACTTACAGAGGTAATTTCTTTTCAAGAAACACTTTTCTAGTTTCTTTGCATAATTTGTTCCTTTATAATAGATAAAATATTGACATTTAATTGACAGCGCCAAATATTCCCCTAGTGGTGACTTTTGGAACTAATTTGTTTTCTCGCGGAATCCTTCGTCCTCCGTCTTGTTTAATCTTCCTACAAAATGTAGCATCATTCTCGCAAATAGATAGCGCTACAGAACACTGTGAGCACTGTCAGTTTAATTATGGCCACCCGGTATGTATGAGCAAGAAGTCCTCCACAAAGGTGTCCTTTCCCTTAGGTAGATAGCCCTCGCATGCTTTGCCATAATTAAATAAACTAATCCATTAAACATAAGCACTGAATTTATTCAGAATAATTTTTTGTTAAGTTTAGAATAGATTTGAATTTGAAATAATAATTATTTAAAGTGTTGCCATTCTGCTAAGTTTTACACTTTTAAACTTTAATGATAATTTATTTATGTGGACTTTTGATTTTTGTTGTTTAATTTGTAAGTTTATTTTATTAGGTAAATGGAATAAAACTGCTAGGCATGAACCATCATGGTGTGGTAGCTACTTTGAAAGAACTTCCAATGCATGTGAGAATGGTATGTGCTCGTCAGTTGCTACCTGCTGAACAGGAGATACTTCCGTCCTTGAGCCAGGCCAACTATTCTCATCCGTACCACATGGAATATGACTTATCAACTGTTCCTGATTTTGTGGGCCGTGGTATGCTTTCTGGACCTTTTGGGGGCAGCCTTACATCGCTTACACAAACATCTGAAAGATTAGTCAAAGCAAAATCTGATGGCTCTCTCGCTATTGGAACTTCAGCAGCTTCTTCACCCCCTATGGAGGCTGCTCTTTCTAAATTAAAATCGAGATCTCTAGAACCTCTCACTGGGCTAGCTATGTGGAGTAGTGAGCCTCAAATTATTGAATTAATGAAAGGAGACAGGGGATTAGGTTTTAGCATCCTTGACTATCAGGTAAGCATCAATGTGAATATATAATTATTTTTGCATGTTTTAAATTGTGATTATTTTCTTGTTGTCAGCCAGTAGCATTATTTGTTGGCATTCATAATTCAATAAATTCAAATCTGAATGCTAAAGTGAAGAATAATTCCAGATTTTTAAGACATCCTCTGCTTAATTATGATCTGCCATGATCTCTTTTGCACTGAACTTAGGAAGGTAAACCTTGAATGCTTTGCTTAAATTTAATAATCAAATGAAATCTTCCATTTCTGTTCTTCCCTTTCCTTGCGAAAAGTTTGACCTGTGTTTACAATAGCAGCAGGTATTTTTGCTTGATATTAGGGTCCATATGTAATCCTGTTAAGCTTGCATATCTAGTAATTGTTGATTTTTGTTAACAGTTTATATGAAGCAGATTTATTATCTCATTATTTTCAAAAACTGTAATTCATATTATAAAGTACTTAATTTTTAACTCTTGTTTATTGTTTTGTATTCTAATGTCATGCGTTTTAATCTTTGAAACTAATTTTATTTTGATGTGAATGCTACACAGAATTTGATTCTCACTCATGAGAAATTCAATCTTTCATGATTTCATAATTCCTTTCATAATCTGTCTTTTTTCAGTGTGTACATTAACCAGAAAACCCAGAAAAAGTTGTAGCCTGTAGGAAAATTTTGACAGTTAATGAATTAGTAAAGGGAATGATAGATTTATACCTCTTAAATGCTTTTAATTTTTTTCCATTTTGGCAGTAAAACTGATCTTTCAAGACAGCCCGGAAATTTATTTACTAAAGGATCAATTTATTGTAATTTATGCTTTAAAGTAGTAAAATGTTATGTAAAAAATTTGATTTAAGATATCAGCTTTGTGCTTGTATTTTAAAACTCTGTCGAAGTATTACTAAATAAGAACTGTTATGTGCAAGGGAAAAAAGGAAGTTTCCAAGAAAAGGTTTGTTTTTAATTTGCTCCTAGAGCTTCAGCTTTTCTCTTGCTTGGGGGATGTAATGAAACTTTAAATATCAGTGGTTAATAAAATAAATAGAGGTTAAAACAAAGTATTGTAATTGCATTTTATTAGACAGTAACTTACATTCTTAGTTTCAAAGTAGATTATGAATACAGAGGCTGTTTGTACATTTTTATAGATGATTTTGCTTTGCTGTTTAAAAAAATAACAATAAACAAAAAAAAAAAAATAATAATAATTATCGTCTGCTACTTTAAAGATTTTGTGTTCATGCAAAATGTCACTTTTAAAAAAGCATTGGGTGGAAGGCTATATGTATGTTCATTCCGAAGAAAATTATGCATATCTAGTTATTAAAAAACGTTGTGAAAGCCATGGTTTTTCAATATCTAAAGCTATGATATGTATTGTCGACAGCAAAGGGGGAAAAATGTCAAAATTTCGTTTCAAGTACAAAAATTGTTCCAAATAAGTATCTAAGGAAAAATGGAATGTTTCAAATGTTGCAAAAGAATTATTTTTAATGTTAAAAGAAAATCTGTGAAGTCAAAGGACAGTTGCAAAATCAGTAAAATGCTCAGTCTCAACTGTAAACAAAGTGATTAATGCAGATTTGAGTCTTAAAAAAAGCAAAAAAAAAAAAAAATAATGTGCATCATCTTTTTCCACCACATATCACCAAACACAGAATGCACTGAATTATTTATGAGAAATATTTATCTGGACAAAAATGGAAAAGTGGTGTCACAATAGACGAATCTTTGGTGTACTGAACTGACACGATTTTTAATATTTTATAATTTGTTTCTAAATCCCATAATCAGGCAAGTTTTCTGCAGTTGATTTTCTCTGAAGTAATCTCTTTGATAAAATAAGCAATTTTGTGTACATATTTGAAATGTTTTATGTGATGAAATATACTTACAATTTCCTGATACATCTTTTAATACAAGATGCTATTGCAAGTAGTTACGCTATATTTCTTTACAACTTATAGAATAAAAAAAGGTTTTTCCAAAAAATAAATAGTTGCTTCTTCCGTATTATTTATTTTCTTCTTTTTCTGTATTATTTCTTTCTTATATATTTCATCAAAATTTTTTTTGTCCTTAAAAAAAGCTGTTCCAATTTTAGTCATGTTAAAAAGCTGCACAAATATATTTATTCCTAGAGGAAAAACCTCGTTATTCTCAAAAAAGGGCAAGAAAGATATTGCAGTGTCATAAAATTACATATTTCTTATTATATGTTAATGGCTGAATTCATATATAGCAACTGTATTCTTCAAATGTTAATATTTTATGTTATTTTAGAGGTCTTAAACTTTTTTAGGTTTATTATTATAATTATTATTAGACCCGGTGGTGCAGTGGCTAGCGCATCACGCTGCAGCACCACAAGTCTGGGATTCGATCCCCAGGCTTTGCAAGGTTCACTCAGCCTTCTATCCCTTGAGTGAGTCGATAAAATGAGTACCAAGTTCGCATGCGGACTAAATACCGGGGGTCCTGCGACAAGCTGACCACTTGTTCAGGACATATGCTCATGCTGTGGCCCACGGTCAAGAAAGCAAATTTCGGGGCACTGAAGACTTTGGCCCACTATGGTTGTTATGCCACTGAGTTTAGTTTAGTATCGTTATTATTATTATTATTGTCTTAAATTTTTACCGTACATTTTTTTCTTTCTTTTTTTTTTAAAATTTAATGTGAATTTTAGCATTAATTAAAAAATGTATAGATCATCTGTATATATATTTCACCAAAATTTATATGGAGAAATACAGTAAAATGAGCTGAATGTTTAATGAATTTATTTTTTTAGAAAAGTTTGTAGCTTAGGGATTCCACCATTGGCCACATAATTAGGTTACTGAATATTGATAGTTTAACATGAGCTTGAACCCACACAATGGGTTAGCTACCTGGTTAATTTTCATAGTTTTCTCCATGTGAAATATGAATATGAGTGAATTTTCTCTAGAAAGCCTTCCGTGAAGGCATCCCTTTCCCTAGATACCCCTTATGGGCTTTGCCATAGTCAAATAACCTCAACCTCCTAGCTTAGGAATTTTTGATTTTTTTACATACTTCATTTGAATTTTCTTGTAGGGAATTGTTACAAATCAAATGAAATATAAATAAGTGCTTCACTTTCAGAGGAAAATTATTTTTTTCTATGAACTGTCATAACTCTTTATTAAAAGTAATGTAAATTTGTCTATTTATTGATAATGAAAAAAAGTGTGTGAAAGAGAAATTTTGAATAATATAAAATTCTTTTAGGCCTTAGCAAAGTAAGTATCCACCTGCATTTAACAAAATTATGTATTGCTGTAATTCATGTGGTATAATCTGAGCTGCTCCTATCATGCATCTGCGTTTGTACTAACTGTATTGCATTTTGCATCTATAATCCCTTGCTGTTTGATTCCTGCTAGATATTGCAAGACTCTACATAACTTGTTAATGATATTTTGTCTTGAGAATGCATTGCTCAGACTTCGCAAACAGAAGAATTTTGCTTTTTAGGGAATATTTCCTTTATCAATAAAGGCAAACTCCGAAGAAGTTTTTGCTTTTAAGCCAGCTTAGTTTGTTATGATCAGGATCTTAATCTGCCTGAATATTGGCAAAGGGTGCAGATGCTGCCTACTTTTCATAATAATGGTCGACTTTTCCTTTTGTTTAAAGTAATTACTTGTTCATGGGGTGATCCTAAGGTGGGGGAACTTGATGAGAAGCTCCATGCAAATAATATGAAACTAAAGTTATGAACATGTATTCATTATTCTGCATCCATAACGATGCATAAATTCTTGATTTTTGTATTGATTTAAATTTAATTAAATTAATTTAATTAAATTAATTAAATTTTAATAAATTAAATTTTTCTAAATTTAGGGATTAATTATTTCTGCAAAATTTTATTTTAAAGGTCATATTTCACAATCTGGAAACAAATATCTTTAATTATTAATTTATGCAATTAATTGTTCTTCAGTTTTGCTTCTAAATTTCACAAGGCATTTCCTTTTCTTAGGATCCCATGAATCCAAATGAAACAGTGATAGTTATTCGAAGCTTAGTGCCAGGTGGAGTAGCTCAGCAAGATGGACGTCTCATCCCTGGAGATCGACTACTCTTTGTCAATGATATTAACTTAGAGAATGCTAGTCTTGATGCTGCGGTGCAAGCGCTGAAGGGTGCACCAAAGGGGGTCGTTCGTATAGGTGTTGCCAAGCCCCTCCCCCTGCCCGAGAGTGGCCAGAGTGGACAGGTGAGTGACACCTTTGTCTCTCGGGTGGGAGGGGGGAAGGGCCTTTTGGCTGGGGGCATGCCATCATCTTTAGTCAAATCTGAAAGTTTCTAAAGTACTTTTCTCTGAGGAAGGTTAATCTTTCTTTAGATTTTTAAAGCTAAACAATCAACAAGTACAAAGCACAATACTAAATCTATAGGCGTATTATAAAAATATGAAACACACATGGCAGCTATTGACATATGTTGTATTAGCATGTAGTAAAATTTGAATGTTCAGATTTTAGTATTCCCAATTCTATTTTGGGATATTTCGCTCAATTCATAGATATTAGTCGACTATTTAATGAGGCATTAAAGTAGTGAAATTTAAAAAATATCCAATTCTTAGTTAGTTTAACTATATTTTTCAGCAGTTATATAGACATTTAATTTCATTTAAAATTACTTGAAATATGGCACCTTTTTACTGTACATCTTAATTTGAGAAGCACATGCACCGTGTTGCACAAATATTTTGTATCAGAAAGCGCTTTTCTGTTATAAACTTCTGATTTTATTTGGTGGTATTTTAAATTTAAATGTACATGAACTATTATTTTCATCCTATGAATTATACTTAATTTTTAAAGATCACAATTTCTGAGAAATCTACTGAAAGGTTTGTCTTTCTTTTGATGAAATTTTACTTCATGAATAAATGTTTTTTTCAAGTGGTATTTATGTAATTTTAATATATACGTGTAATTTTAAAATCAATGCATTTTAGTACTTGACGTCTTAATATAAGTTTCTTAAAGGCAATCTTGAAATGTTTATTTTGTGACATTTCAAATTACCTAAATTTCATAATTTTTAATAACTGCTTATTTAATGGTAAAGGGTTATGATTCTTTATCGGGTACTATACTTTTTAATTATTAAAAAAAATCTAAATCATGTTCACTTTTTTTTTGGGGGGGGAGCAGCCTTTTTGAAATTCAAATTTTAATTTTTGTTTTGAAAAACAAAGTTTTCAAAAAGGAACTTCTAATATGTTTTCAGTTTTCTAGCATTGAAAATGTATAGATAAATATTGCATTTCTCTATTTACTTTTTGACATAAGGATGAGCATATATAGATTTTACTTTTCGATGTCTGATACTTTTATCAGTACTTATAAAGAAGATAAGCAAATGTATGGGTCAAAATTGTGTTTTCATAACCAAATACTGTAGACTTTCTTTTAAAAATGCTGTAACAATTTTCGTCCTGTGTGTAAATCATGTTCCTGTACTTTCATGTTAGTAGCCTGTTTCATTTATCAATTAAAAGTTCTTGAACATATGTATTTTTCCTACCATCAGAATAACCATTAAGTAACCTAATATTAGTATCTGCCATGCTATCAAAATGCATTGATGATGCTTAAACCATACATATATTCCATCATTTTCCAAATACAGAGGCTTTGTGTTATGTTTGAAATTTTTTTTAATTTTAAAACTAGAAATATATGATATTTTCATAAGTATATGTGGAATTCTTTTTGTTAAATTACTGAAGACTTAATGAAATAACATTCACTGTGATAAAAGTTTCCAGTAAATACTTTTTTGTGCTCACATTTTTAGAATAGCATAATTTTTTAAGGGTTTGAATTTGTTCTGATAAATTTACTTGAACTATAGAATTTAGCTAATAAAATTTATCATGAAGGGCAGACTATTCTGTTATTGAACTCTTTGTGTGCTTACCTCTTCCACTGCTTGTACTGTTATGCCTTTATACAGTGTGCTATAAAAATGCTTCCGTCTTTATAAAGAGATTATCCAAATATTCTTTTTCATGAAAGAGAATTTGAGACTAAAAAATACTTGTTTAAAAAATTTTAGCATTTCATATTTGTGAATTTTTATTATCTGTTTTTTAAAAATTGTAAGTCTGTATTATTGTAAGCAATTAACCTATCCATAAAGAGCATTTTTTGTCAGTTTTTGGAGTGATATGCTTTATTATCATGTTCACATGTTTATATTTCTTGAAAAGGTAAAAATATATATATATTTGTGTGTATTTAACTAAGTTATTAACAAAAAATTTCCTTTCATTTAGCACCAATAAAAAAGTAAAGAATCGGTCTCTTTTCTTTTTAAGATGTGAGGCATAAAGCATTTCAAAGAAATTAAAAAAAGTTACTTAATTTTTAGATTCCATTCTTTTCTTTTTGAATCAAAATTATTGCATTTAATCCATCGTTTAGTTTTGTCTGTTCTCAAATTCTATAAAATTGAAAGAGCTTTTTAACTTTTACATTTCTAAATTGAATATATACAGATCTTTATTATGAGGTTGTATTCAGGTTGTAAAAGCATATATCGTAACATTTAATAGGTTGCTGTGAAAATTTACATGTGATATATTTTTGTTTAGATCTGAACTTTGTGAAATCCTTGTTTTGTTGTGTAACAAGTGTTTTCAGTTCTGGTGTTTGTTGAACAGTGTCATTTGTTGAAATGTTCATCCTTGTTTTTGTGTGAACATTTTTGAAAAGTGATGTAAATGTTCTCTTTGGGTATTAGCACAATGTTTTGGAAAATAAATATTATTTGTTTAATTCTGGTCTTTTCTTGCTCAGATATATAGTTTTATCTCTGTTTTATTCTCTTTTCTACCACATAAAATACAGTATTATGTAACATAACATATAATTATAAATGTTAAAGCCATACTTTAACACATTATTCAGATGTCTTCTTATCTAAAATTTAAATCTCAATGTTTCAAACTATGTAGAAATTTTATTTGGTCTTACCCATCTCTTGACCATGTAATTTAATTCTTTTGTTTATTAGTTGAATTATATTTATTGCAAAATTACTTCATTAATTATGTTAGTTGTCTTTCCAAATGATAAGAAGGTTTTCCAAGTTATTTGTGTTTAATAGGTCAACGATTTTGCATGGTTTTTGGGGCTTACATGCCACTGTTCTGAGAACTTCATTTTCAGACCAAAGAATTTTTATAATAATCAGTTAATCCACATGTTTTTAGCTATAAATATTTTTAAATAATTATATTTTTTAATAAATGCCTTACAAGAAATAATGACCTTCAGACAGCCTGAGTCTTAAGTGCATAAAATAGTTTTTGAAGAGTGCTCACATCCACTTTTAAAAAAGAAATTATAGTTATTGTAAGCAAAAGTTATCTGTCATATGCTCCTTTTTTTGTACAAACAGGACATTAATAAATTTAGAAAAATTCAAAATCATTTATTCTACATGGATGAAGACAGTTATGTGTTTCAGACATTATTATTCTGACAGTATGTTGTATGGAGCGTAATAAATAATTTACAATTATAATACATATGCAAATTTTTATTATCTGTATGATTTCTTATATATTTGGTTAGTGCTTGTAAACGTTTTCACTTCACAAAAATTAAATTTTCAAAATAATCTTACAGTATCAAAATCACCTTTAAACCAAGCTATAATGTATTTACAAAATTATTTTGTAAAACATCATTAAATTAACAGGATATCTGCTGTGATATATGAAATTTATCACAGGTTTTGCAAGGAAAGTTTTATTGGATAAGAGAGGAAAATATTCATGGCATGGTTACATAATATACAGAAAGAACAAAGTGACTTATTGATGAAAATTCTATAGGTTCAAATTTAAAGCTTATACATATTCTGTCTTCTTTTGGCATGTTTTATTCCCCCCCAATGATGTGTGATGTTGATAATTTAACCCAGATATATATATAATAAAATAACAGAATTTTTCAATTTTGAATGTATTAGATGTTGGGAAGAAAGGATAAACATTATTGTAAAAAGAATTTTCCTGGCATATATTTATCTTAAATCAAAAATACAAATTGCATGCACACTGTATAATTAACACATGTATAATTTTGTATGATAAATAAACACATGTATAATTTGTAACACATGTATAATTTTGTATGATAAATAAACCGTTCAAAAAGTTTCCTTTTGTAGATGTAATAAATGAGAAGAACTAAAATATTTATCTGAAAATATTGAGTATATTTGCTACTGAATTACCAGCTGCAAAATAAATAAAATACTAGTTAATTGTTAATAGCTTATGAGTAATTATGATTCCAAATACCAAAAGCTTACTTTAAAAAAATAAAAATCCTAATGTGTTTAAACATTGTAGATTGGATATTTTTAATTATAAATTTCAGTACCTCATAGTGTCAACACTGTTTAATTAACCCACTTAAATTTAAAAAAAAGTCACCTCCAAGATTTAAACCATTTTCAGTATTGAATATGTATTTCTTTGAAATCAAAATCCAAAATAACTTTTACACTCGGACTGATAGTTACCTCATTAGTAATTTTATACTGCAAGTTGATATATTAATGAAACTAAGTTTATCAACAGAGATAAAATATATTTCATGTTTTTTTTAATGCAAGTAAAAGTTTTGTTGCTTAGGTAAAATAATATTTCTCTTGAAATTGTCAATAGAAAAATTTTGAGAATCATTCAGTTGTTAATATTCAAAAACAGTAAATTCTATTTGATTAAGACTGGATCAATAATTCTCTTATTAATTCTATGCCTCTAGACACTGATCCTACTGAATATATGTTAAGTGATTATTAGAACAGCATTTGTCTACCTTTCATACATGTGGGACCTTTTATATGCAAAATCTTTGTAAGGCAATACTTGCCCTGTAATGCTTATTTGATATCATTTCAGTGGACCTAGAATTTGGATATGTTTTGGATCTGTCTATAATATGAGTGCACCCATGTGCATTTGTGCATGTTTGCCAGTAATGAACATCTTTAACAAATTATGTGTAACTGAGCCAAACATAGTTATTTTTAATAGACATTTAATTTAAAACAAAGTTATTAATGAAATAACATTTTTAAGAGCAGAAAGAATACTGAAGTTAATTTGACATATGATTGCATAGTTAAAGAACAACTTATTCCTGTAATAGCTCAGATTTACTGTAGATTTTGTAAAAAAATAAGATTTATCTCCAATGTTTCTAGATCTCTGTGGACAGTAGTCCCACACTGCCAGATATGAAGTCTTCATTTGATCTACCTCCTCGTCTGAGTTTGAATTTGGACTTTGAGCAGGTAAGTTCTTCGCCCGACTCCATGTTGATGTTTAGTCCACCTCCACCACCTGAAGGATTTTGATTACTCTTGAATTTATGCTCAAATTCCAATGTTTTTAAATTTGAATGCTGACAAAAAGCATATACTATATAATAAATAGGAAACGCAATAATGCTTGTAAAATGTCTATTTTGCAGCTTGTAGCATTATCGAACCATTTTGCAGATGGTTGTTGGCATGAACAGTTATCAAACTTAATATTCTTAAATTTAATTTTAAAAATTTCTATTTTTTAGACAACATTAACTTTGTGCTTTATAGAATGTGATTAACATTGAATCCTGTTGGCATACTTATCTTTTGCAGTAAATGAATTTTACGTTTTTCATAGCTCAAATTTAGAACTTTGACCTGTGATTTAAGCTGTAAATATATTAATTCTATGAAGGCAAAAGTTGATAACATAATCGAAGTATGGTCACTTGGTTAGCACAAATATCTGGAGCTTGTAATTATTAAAAGTTAGTTGAATCTTTCTTTAGAACAAATGAAATTTCTTTTATTACTAAATTCCAGAATAAATTTTTCTGGCACACTAGTCAATGACTACTGTTGTAAAAAGTTCAGATATGTGATGTCGCTAATGAACACACACGTAGTTACATCCTAGGAGAAGAAAGATTATAATTTAAAATATCTCCTTCATTGATCAGTGAATGTGAAGCATTAAATTTAGCATTATAAATACATGGGATAAAGTATGGCCATAATTTGATTTTGTATCAACTGCTGAAATAAGTTTAATTCTTAATTATTCAGTTGTAAGCAGTTTTTTAAGAAGGTAAGATAATTTTTAAATATTCAGAAAGTAACCATCAAACCCATCTCCTTTTTCATGGAAAAATGTTTCTGTGAACCATCAGATAAATAGTAAATATTTATTTGGAAGTTAAATGCATAATTTGGAAGTTAATACATAATTTGTGTATTATACACAAATCTTTGTGTATTATACACAGATCTTAAAATTCTGAAAAGAACTGTAGGAACATAGCTAATATAAATTATTACTTTGTGTTGATAATAAAGTGTAATACAATTTAATAATTGCATTAACAAATAATTAATTTCCAAATGCACTAAAAATTGTTAGTGCATTTTGAAATTAAAATTGTTTTTTTCCTGTGTGAAGGAAATATAAAATGCATTTCAAACTTGTGTTTTATTCTTGTAAACTTTAAATGCAAACTAAATCATGTAGGGTTTATCTGATGCACATAATATGTCTGATTTACTTCTTCACTAATGAGATTTTGCAAAAGTAGTATATCAGAGTAAATATAAATTTGAGTTTGCTGTCAGTAATTTGCAGTGTTCTGAATTTAATAACTGTTTTGTTATAAAATATTTCATGAAATGATGGAGTGAAGCATCTTGCTGCTTTCTTGACATACTGAATAGACTTTTCTATTTAGTATGTATATAAAGAGATAAAATATTTTCTTTTCACTTAACTTAGTGTTTAATAAGTATCCTTTTGTAAACTGTGTTCCTACAGGTAGTGGATTTATTATAAGAAATATAATGTTCAAAATAAGATACAAATATCTTGAATATAATCAATCTTTATTTATCTATAAAAAGAATAATATAAAAAACAGGATTTAAAATTAATTCAAAGTTAATTTATAACAGGGAAAATAACATTCAAAAGAAAATTTAAATAGTCTCGATAATAAGATATTGTACACTTATTTTCTACCTTTTGAAAAAATAAATAAATATAATATTTTTGTTTACTTTATAAAAATAATTTTTGAGGTACAAATTAATTTTAATCCTAATTTAGAATAATATTTAATAGATGAAAATCATTATCATATTTATATTTTGCAAATCAAGTATCATATCAGAACCTTTTATAAATATGCTAGACATTCCACACAGCAATTTTTAGTAACAAATTTATATAGAATTATAATATTTTAAAAATATGTTCTTAGTTGTAAAGTTATTACATGTGTTGTTATTTGATGTCAATTACTTTCTGGAATTTATACCATGATACCCAAAGCATATTCCTGAATTTATTCTGTGACTAGAGAAACTGTATTTCCCCCAAATCTAATTTCTTGAAGTAAGAAAGAGCACAGAAGTATTATCATGCTCTAATCTGTATTACTATACTTAGCCACCTAGATTAGAATGTGTTTTCAGATTCTATGGGAATTTCCGTCCTTGTCCATCAATCGTAACAATAAAGCTAAAAACTAAAGAGATATCTTAATGTGTTTTCAAAGCGAAAATATGTTATTGTTTTGCAGTGATATGTGATCCTAGTTCAGGAACTCTGTGATGTTGTGATTTATTGTTTGTTCTCTGTCTGAATGAAATAAAGTCATTGTTATTTTATTCTTTAAAAGTATGTTTTTGGCTCTATTAAATTTCTTTCTTTTTTATTTTAATTAATTCAAACTCTTTCTTGTGAATTTATTACATTTTAATAATACTCTGTTTTTAATTATATATTTAATCCTCTACATTTTATGCCTGTTTATAAAAGCTAGAAAAGGTTTTGATAAAATGAATTGCAAGCTAAAAAAATTCTAAGCTGCTAGTTAAGAATTTCTTACAAGAAATTCTCTTTCTTCTTACATCCATTTCTTTTTTTTTTAGAATACCATTCGTGTGGTGCTGTTTCTTGTTTTTAATTGAATGTACAATTAATCTCTGCTTGCTTGGTTTTTTTTAGAACCTCATATAATAATATCCAAATCAGAAATTCTGTAATTGCTTTCGGTATTTACATGTACAGAATCTGATGAAAGCAAGGAGAAAAAATATTTATCATTTTAAATATAATTATCAATTCACTTTTTTATTTTGCTTTAAGAAGAAATTATTATTAATCTTCAGTTGTGAGTACAAATTTGGTGACATTTATAAAATTGATTACTAACAGAATGTAATAGTTTGGATGAAGTCTGAATGATGAAACTTGTTGCCAGTAATCACTAAAGCCACTAATTATACCCTGAACTGAAGATTAATTAAAAATTACAAAATTATGCATTAAACATTATGAATAAAAGGATTAAGATAAGTGTTAGCCCAGATATTTTATGACCAAAAGTAAAATGATAAATTTTATGATTTAAGTAGCATCAAAAATAAAGCTATATCAAATAACTGAGGCTTGGCAAAAGTGTCATATTCTTCGCATATAGCATTTCTCTTATAACAGTATAAATATATTAAATTGTATTTTCGAAAACATTTAATTTTTTCGCCTACTGTAAACAATTTTTCATTAATTTAATCATGTTTCTCTGTTTGCATATACAAGTATTTATTGTTATTATTTGAATTTTCCGTGACAAATGGACAAGTTACATCCATAAATCAAGAAAAGCTTGTGTTAAAAAAGCATTATTAGATATTAATTTTTTCTAATTTGACTTGATGTACAATAAAAAGCTGTTGCTGTTTACTGTTTAAGATTTGAAAGAAAATTCACACCTCCATTTTATGTGAAGTGCTGCCATCTGTCTTTGAGGAATTCATTTAAAATCATTTCCACTAAGTTTATTTGGTCATTGAAACTTCTATTAGAAATTTTTTTTGTTTTTGTAAATACGTTGCAAACACGTGAATAACCAACTCAAAAAAGAAATGAATAATAAACACATATTTTATGATGTCAGATGTTTAGACATTTTTTAGCAGAATAAAAGAACTGCAATTCAAATTTTTTTTTTTTTTCCTTTATATCGTATCTTTTATCCATTAAATAAAACACAAGGAGATATCCATCACAATATAAATACAAATTTTTTTTACAGTACAGTTGAAAAAACATATTTTTTGTGTATGTATACACCATAATTTCTTTCTATATTATTATTATACAAGTCTAGAAGTACTTTTTTGTTGTTGTCAAAAAGAAAAAAAAAAGTAAATTCTGCTTTGTTTTAAGATGTGATTTCCATGAATAAATCTAAGCAGTATATTTTTTAGAAAACAAAATTAATTTGAATAATGCAATAATTGATTACCCAAGGCATGGTCTTTCAGATTAGTTTCATATTGTTGAGAAGTACTAGTGTATTCAAAAAGAAGCTTAGTCAAATTTTTATCTAGAAACTTGTGCAAGTGCAGTATTCCCAAGCAACTGTTTAGAATGACACAGTCTGTATCAGAGTTTAGTAATGAACAGTATAGTAGATGATGGTTTTAAAGGATCAGTTTATAATTCTAATTGATATTTTTCCATAATAATGATTTTCTTTTCTCTGTACTTTGTGGTACATTAAAGTTTTGGTAATTCTGAAACACAATTTAACCATGAGTGCTGTAAACCGATATATTTTTCATCAGTTGTACTCATGGTACAGCTTGCTTGCATTTGGCATTGCATGGGCTTTTAAAATATAGCATTGTACCAAAAAAAAAAGGGTGAAGTTTTTTTTTTCCTCCATAAGTCATGTTTTGAACTCCTCATTGCTGTCTGTGGAACAGTAAAGTATTATTGAAATAAGTATCTTATGTTTTTAATACTATTTTGTTGATATGCTATTATTTATTAGGTTTCCATGTTTTGTTTCTTATTAAATTCCTGTATATTGATGGATAAATCAGTGCATCATTTTGACACTCCACAGCACACACATAATTTATGAAATAAATGCAGAAATGATAAAAACTTTAGGAGAAATCTTCTTTTCACCTAAATTAAGGTTAAAAAAGCATCTTTCCCCTCCATTGGATATTACACAATTTAACCTTTTGTTAACTCTTACTATTACTAGTTTAATTAAATTCAAACAACTTTGTTATAATGTGAGCCATTGCATACAGATTTGCTTATAAAGCTTTGATGGGATTTACATTTCTTGCTTCATTAATGAAGCTTCCCATTGACAAAATGACAAAATAAAAGTTTGAGGGTTACGAAATGAAGAAGTTTTCATTTTAGTAGAATGAATATGCAGTGTTCTTCCTCCTTTTTTTCAGATGAA